AGATGCGGAGAGATGGGACTTTGTCCTGGGGCTATCCGAGGTTTAGGGGTTGGGGAGGTGAGAAGGGCCCAGCAGAGAAGACTGAGAAAGAGCAGCCAGAAATCTGGGTGTCCAGGAAGCCAAGGGAAAATAGTTGCAAAAATGAGGAGTGATCAGCTGTGTAAGCATTAATAAATGAGTAGAACCCCCGGATGTACAACGTTGCAGAGCGCCACCACGATGAAGTGCTCTGCATCTAGTTAACAAAATGTGGGTCTGCCATTTTTTAAACAGCTCAGGAAAAAAAAGTATTTCGTGTTTTAACACACTGCGTTCAATCTTTTTGGACATCTTCACATTTATTACAAACATTAAAAAGGAAAAAATACAAAAGCAAAGCCTCAGGTTGCCCTGGGCCCCCGTGCTTACGAAGTCAAGTCCTTCCCTCTCCTTGTCCACGGTGAACCAAACTCCAGTAAATGTGCCCGAAGCTCTGCTCCTTGCACACAATGGCCAGTGTTCAAATCACATGACGGAAAATGTTAAACATCACATTCCAAAAAAGAGACTTCTTGGTTTTGTTGAAATATCTTCAGAGCAAGATGTTTGCAGTGGGTGTGTTTTTCTCCAACTCTCTCCTCATTAATGAGGGGAGAGCACGTCTCAGTTTTCCAGCAATACATCTTTGGGCCCTTCTCATTTCTGAAATCTCTCCATTTTGCTTCCTGCTCACCTTGCATCTACAATCTCAACCCCTAGAAGGCACTTGTGTATTTGTTGGTTTCATTTAGATCTCAAATCACAGTGTGGGGAGGAAAACATGGCCTCCCCAGAGCCAGGCCCTGGGACGGGCTTCTCTACAGAGAAGCCTGAGGGAGGACTCGGGCCCTTGCACAGCTCTGAGGACCCACTCTGTGAATCTCAGCGCAGGCACCACTTATGTGGGTTTTTGTGATAATTTAGTCTCTGAATTTGCAGAACTGCTCTTATGAGTAAGGGAACCCAATTAAAACTGAGGCTTTTCCCCCCAAAACCAAAGATTTTTAAAACTCAGGAGTTGTTCAATGTTCCTCTAACTTTTGGGTACAGCAATTTCATCTTGGATACTAAAAGGCTCTGGGGTTTATGACACATCATTAAGTAATGCAGGCCTTGCATTGTGACTGTAATTATTGCAGGTGAACACTGAGATTCATAGACAGGCTATGTTCTCTATCACATTCTTCAACTAGCCCATTTGTGACTTGGCATACAGGCCTTCTCAAGTGTAAATAGAAATTTCAACCTTGTGCTTAAAAAACAGGCTAATTCTATAACTACTATTAATTAGTTATTTGGAAAACAATGATGTTAAGTAAAAATAATGACTTTCATGGAGCGAACAAGCTCTTTACTCTTTTTGTTGATCACTCTCATTTCTGTCTGGAAATATACTAGGCCCTTGCTATTCAAAGTGAGGTCTCTGGACCAGCGGTATGAATGTCACTTTTGGGTACAGCAATTTCATCTTGGATACTAAAAGGCTCTGGGGTTTATGACACATCATTAAGTAATGCAGGCATTACTTAGCCAAGAGCTCTAACCTTAAGTTAGAGTTGGCTATTAGATCTATTTACAGACAAAGCTCCATTACCTTCACCTGAAGATGAAAAATGTTTTTTCATCTTCCTAGCATTGTGTAATTTTAGCACATTATGTGTAAGATTAGGCCAGGGGGACACTAAGAACATTAAGAAAGAGGTCAAGGCACTAAAATAAAAAAAAAAAACGTGGAACCAGGATACATTTTTGAGTTTACAAAGCATTTTTAATCTGTAGTCACACTTGCGTTATTCAGCTTCTCTAGCCCTCAGTTGTCCTCACCTGTAAAATGTGACGGTGGAAATAGAAAGGCTGGTCTCTGTAAAGTCCCTGAAGAAGACATGAACCATCAAAGAGCCACTCCCTAGCAACCCCAGTCTGATAGTTGGGAAACCTAGTAAAGGCACTTTAGCAGCATGACCTCGACCACCTGGGTCCAAATCTGAATCCCAGCTCTGCTAAATTTAACTTATGACTTTGGGCAACTTTCCTTGAATGTACTGAGCCTGTCTCCTCATCTCTAAAATAGATATATTAGCTCATAGAATTGTAGTGAGGATTGAATTAGGGCCATAAAACAATTTATAAGTAGTCATCACAGTGACCTCTCCCTCAAACTTGCCTCTCCCCTTGACTCCTAGCCCAAGTTTATTTAACATCTTAGTTAACTATTGAGAAACCCCAACTCACAATACAGGAAATCACAATACTGTCAGACACAGACATTCACAATTTAAACTGTATCTGGAAGATTTTCAGGAACAACTCAGTGCGACTGTATCTTGAGATGCAGTCTTTAAGAAGCAGTTATGGTTAACTGAGGTCATACAAGTGGGGTCCTAATCCAATGACACTGTTGGCTTACAAGAAAACACATCGCTCTCTCTCCTTGCCATGGGAGGGCACAGTGATGCGTGCACACCAGGAAGAGAGACTTCACCAGAACCTGACTGTGCTGGTACCCTGATTTTGGATTTCCAACCTCCAGAACTGTGAGAAAACCAATTTGTGCGTGTGTTTATGTGTGTGCATGTGTGTGTTTGGTCACCCAGTCAAGGGTATTTTGTTATGGCAGCTGGAGTTGACTAATATGAGCCCACAGAGGAAATTTTCTGGGAATGGCCACACCCCAACTGAGTTCAGAGGCTGGACATTTAAAAATTCCTAGTTATGTCTTAAGCAATTCTAATCTTCTGACAGTAGGTGGTAAATGTCAGGGTTGCATGACCTTCATGCTTTCAAGCTGATCGCTGCTTATTCTATTACCCTTTAGCTGAAGTTCTTTCCAAAGACCACACCATTTGTGCCTTTGGACTCTATCAGCTACTAGCATATTCCCAGCTAGCAACTAATAGAACTGCTCTCTTAGGACAATCAATCCTAGGATTCTAAATTCAGAGACTACACTGAGTATCCAACTGTCCTCAGAGTCACAATTTTTTTCCAAAAATGTTTCATTATAACATCTAAATACCTGGAGCACATTAAGAACTTAGTTGTGAAGATTTAAGGAGCAGGAGAAAACCAGAATCACTGACTGAGTTGTATGCTGAGGAAGAACAAAGGAGAGAGCAGCCTTGCAGAGAGGAAAAGTTCTAGGAAAAAACAAAAAGCTGTCAAAGTCATCTTAAGAGGCCACTGCAGGAATGATCCAGTCAAGTCTTCTATATGATGAAGGTGAGGTTGGTTCTGGATCAATCAATAGTTTGAGATTTAAGTAAATACTGGTGCCCCTACTCTGTCCAGTACCAGCAGAAATTATCAAACAGGTAAAAGAGCAAGAAATGATTGGCCAATCTGTTCATCTGCACTGAATGACAGGACAGCGGGCCACAAGATGAGAAGCAGGAACTGCAATCATTATGCTAGAAAGAACTTGGCATACCTACAACTCATACTTACCTTTAAAAAAAATTTTCATAGCCACCCCCTCAAAGCAAAACACTGTATAAATTCCAACAGTTATAATCCATTTGCATTTAGTATGAATGCTTCTTATAGTTAAAACCCAGAGAATGTTTACCTGCATTTTCTACAAACCAAGATTAGTAATGATTTTTACATATGTGAACATGACAGCTTTAACCAAATTCTTTATTGAGCATCTACGTGCCAGGAACAAAGAGCCATGGGCATGTTGTCTAGTTGTATAGGGCCTGACAGGGCTTGTGGCTTTCAGTTCTATCTCTTGCCCTTATGCTTTAGGATCATAATCTGAAGACAAGACGAATGATCTCATTTGCATAATACTTTGTACACAACAGCTTCATCTGTCTCCCATTTCCTAGCACTAAATCTTTTTTTTTTTTTTTTTCTCGCTTTGTTGCCCAGGCTAGAGTGAGTGCCGTGGCGTCAGCCTAGCTCACAGCAACCTCAAACTCCTGGGCTCAAGCAATCCTGCTGCCTCAGCCTCCCAAGTAGCTGGGACTACAGGCATGCACCACCATACGTGGCTAATTTTTTCTATATATATTAGTTAGCCAATTAATTTCTTTCTATTTATAGTAGAGACAGGGTCTTGCTCTTGCTCAGGCTGGTTTCGGACTCCTGACTCGAGCAATCCGCCCACCTCGGCCTCCCAGAGTGCTAGGATTACAGGCGTGAGCCACCGCTAAGATTTCCCTTTGAGTTTACACCTTTCTAGATTTTTTTGTTTGTTTGTTTGTGGGGTGAGAAGGAAACATCCTTCTGTGGTCACCACTTTACTAGATTTGGAAACTGATACAGCTTACCTTCTGAAATCGGTGTAACTGGTGGCCATCTAGGGGTTCAATGACAAAAAAAGGCAATGTATTTTATGTATCTTTGCCGAGATTGCTTAGAAAATTACCATATACTATTTACAGCAAGGAGTACAAGCTTATTACTCTAAATTTTAAAAATCAAGTGACTGTCAATCTCAGTCAACCTTTAGAGGTCTCACAATTTGAATTCCAACTAAATTGTTCCTTATTTAACAATATTTTTTATAGCAAGATATGTTCAGCAAAATCCTTATAACTTTAGATTCTTTCCTTGGGAAGGCAGATAAGAACTGAACTTGGTATGATTTAAAATTATATAACTTCCCCCTTTAAATTTGCTTCATATTACAGAATACTATCCTCACTTCTTAGGAACCTCCCCAAAAGACACAAACCATCATGTGCTCTTTTGTATACCAGACCAAAATGGCAACCTTATATTGGAAAAGCAAGCTACTGCTAAATAATACTTTCCAATTTTGGTGAGATCAGCTTTAAATGATCCTAAATTGGGAGATATTCCACTTGAGTGACAAAGCCCATTTCTCCAAAATGGGAGAGGAAAAACAAAAAATGTCTCTCTCTTTAAAGCACTACATAGTGAAAAACATTGAAAAGAAAATTAAATTTGCACAGTTATCACTTTGATGTGATATACATGGCTAGGTAAGATTGTAAATAAACTGTAATATAGAAAATTTAATTTTATCTTTATGAAGTATTCTGAAATTAAAGGCATTAATACATGCATCAGGCACATCCAACAGAAGACTTTTACAATGGTTTACATTTCCTTTTTATTTATTCCTTGAAACTGCCCGTATTGCAGGTTTTTCATGGATGAAATATGGAACTGAGCAGATTCTTTTTTTCTACAAAATTATGGTATAAATTTGCTCGATTTTCTATCTTATTGCTAATTAACCTTACAGGCGCACAGTTTGTAAAATAAACCCCTTAAGGACTGAATGCTTAGAGCATGCTGCAAGGTACAAGAAATAAGCTAAAAATGAGCATATAAACCTACATCTGGACCAACACAGTACTGAATGCTGGCAAACATTTACCACGACACAGGGAAAAATTAATAAAAGGAGATACAGTTCAGTCCTGAAAGGGTTAAATAGAAACCCTAATATATTATTGTTTCTAACCATCCATCCCACATTACAGTGCTTGAAAACAAAGTCAAAAGTCTGGCACAGAAAATTACACACATTTGTTCAGTACTCATCAGAAACACAGCTGCTTTTGAAATCAAAGTAAATAACCTGGTTAATAATTGAATAGCATTCTGTTTCAAAAAGGAACCCCCCCCCAAAAGATTTTCTGTTTAACATGACTAGTTAGGTTAGTTCTCAAAAATGGCATTGGAAATTTTCTGTGAAGCTTGCTGTAAGAGAAAACTGTAATAACTTGGATTTAAAGCACAGATGGTACCAGTTTCCTTAAAACAAAAACAAAAAAACTGACTAGTTGTGATCAAAAATAAGTCTGTGCAGTAAGAGTGACACATATTTCACTAATTAATTCACGTATGAGAGTGCCTTTAGTTGCCACGGTTTAAGAGAAGTCAGCAGCAGGTTAAATATTATAATAGTGTTCAACTCTGAAATCATCCAAAATATAAAGGGCATTTCTAATGTAAGGCCTTTAGCTTGCCTTCCCAATCTATGTGATAAATTCAACAGAACAAATAACAATGCATTGGATCAGAGGCTCAGCTTCTATGCATACTTTTTAGAAACTGCATAGAATCTTGAAAGCATAATGATAAACTTCCAAAACAGATTTTTTTAAAAAATCAAACATACTGTAACTGACGCATTCATTCACCATTCTAAGAAGAGAGTCTCTATGAGGATACATGACCAGCATCTCTAATAATGCCATCATTGGGGGAGGGACATATTCCACTATAATTGGAGAACAAGGTTCCTGTAAATTATATACTAAAAATGATTCACAAATCCATGAAAAAGATTTTTTTAAAGCAGCTGACAAAAGAACTACTGATAAACAATAAGCTACAATAGACACTCCTTAGTCTGTGGTGTGAGAATGGCATACAATAGGTGGGGAAAATGCCTGTGTAAGTACATTCTTGAAGTTTTCAAAAAAAAATGAAAAAAAACAGGAAAAGGGTTTATAGTCTAATATTTCAATTATCTTATTAAAAGAAACAAAGAACCAAAGTAAGATATGAACATTAAAAAAGCAAAAGTTCACTTTAATAAAGCCATGAACTTGAAAAATTATTTTGAGTTACAAAGCTGGGTAAGGAATAGTTTGTTCTTCAAAAGCATCTCATTTGTTATAGGTTAATTTAATATGATTTCTTAACTAAATACCAAACCTAAGAAGTGGAGGAAACTTTGCCCCATTAAAAATAGAGCAGCACTAAAAACATTTCCACATTCTGAAGGAAAGAACTGTGTAATGACTTCCGCCATGACTCAACAGAAAGAATAAATACTACTCAGAAACAAGCACGTTTGCAAATAAGAGCCAGTGAATAGTTTACAACAAAGAAAGATAAGGCCACAATGAGTTCTGCCCTTGATCACTGAAACTGATTTAAGGTGTGAGGCAGGATCAGTTTATAAGAGAGAAGTGAGCAACTGGAGCAGATTTGAAGAGAAAAAGGCTATACAGAGTAAAATGCAGCCTGGGGGTGATTAAAAAGGCTTGCAGTAAGAGAACACCGCAATAACTTGGATTTAATCACCTAACATGCTTTACAAATTACTTTCCCCTTAAAAACTGAGAAAAAGGCAATTTAAAGATGTTAGGAAGAGTATTTACAGTGGCATAGTCTGAGCAAAAGAGTGAGCGATGAAGACAGCAAAGCTGGGGGAAAACGTTACTAACAATGATTTCTAAAAAGTCTATTGATGGAAAGTTTTTCAAAATAGCCCAGGACACCAGAAAGACAATGTTCTATATGGAAACGCTATAGGAAGTTACAGTTTTGTATTCATAAGGTACTGTGGCTCCTGTTTTATGGGGCAGTAAAAGCTTACCACTATCTAGAGGTAGTTTTTACTCTAAGAAGGATGATTGTATTACTAGACTGTTTCCTATAACACATACATATGGTTCTTGTACTAAATGTAGCCCAATGAGTCTGCTGCAATTTCCAAGAAACTGAACAAAGGCATAACCAAAGTGCAGGAACAAAAGTAATGTAAAACTGGTGAGATTAGCATGCAAGGCCAACACACAACCCTGAATGCAACCAAATCTCAAATGACAGGAAAAGAAATGTTTTCTGAGTAGGAAACATTTGTGGAGATGCTCAGTACTAGGGAAAAGAAAACAAAAAAAGGCAGAGAAAGAAATGGCAACATAAGTTACATTTTCATTTTTATAAGCTTACAACTGTTTGTCTTCCAGCTATTTTAGTTGATCATCTAATAAAAGCATCTTATGTTTTAAGATTACAATGATGTTCTGGCCTAGGCTACCAAAAAAATAAAAAATAAAATAAAAAATAAAAATAAAGATAATAAACATGCTTTTGCTGAGATTTTTCCCCATTCTACCCTTAGGGCACCATCTACCAAATTGGTAGCAAATACTTCTCATGATATTTTTTTTGTCATTTGCCAACAAGGCAGAAAACACTCTGCTGAATGAAATCACTGGGAACATTCGAAGTTCAAAATAAATTGTTTAACTTACACATAATACAAGTTATGTACAAGATTAGGAAAAGGGAAAAACCTGAAGAAATCCTGGAACACACAGTTGTGTTTACGTATGGGAAAAGGGGAGAGAACACTTCAAACACCAACATGTTTTGTGCCATTTACTCATTAATGACTAAATGGCCACACTGAATTCCATGTAAATGTCAGAACCTCTTGGATAACCACTATAAATACATTTTTTAAAAAAGGAAAACACAGAAATAACTACCAACAGTGTCTGAGAATAGAGACTAAGGTAACATACATTGCATGTATTGCAGGCAAGGCAGAGGCATTTTTTTTTTAAAGCTTTTGCACAGACTTCATATAATCTTAAAAAAAATATGCAGGCCTTTACAAGATTTGACTTGCTGAAATCAAAACAATTTCGACTCATGAAAAGTCATTAAGACTTCAGCTTAAAAAAAAATAGTTCTAGCCTTAGACCAAAAATACCTGGAAGAGTATGGTAATTAAACAAGCATGGTCAGGCTTAGAACCTGAATGTACTTTAGAGCAAAAGCTCAAAGGTGGGTAGGGAAGAGAACAACCTATTTGGTAACAAGGTGTACTATATACCATGATATTAAAAAAGGTATGGTGAAAATGTACCTTTTACTAAAGCTTATACAGTTCCTTGGTCCATAAAAACTATGTTAGATTTGTGTCTTCTAGTTTGCTTAACTTTTATTCCAGCCACATATTTATTTCTTGCCCATTTGGAAAAAAACAAACAATAACCAACCAAACAAAAAAACAGCTGAAAAACTTGATTTCCAACGGTTTTTAAATTTTGATTTTTTGTGTGTGTTTGTTTTACTGTGGCTTCTGCATTTCAAATCAGCACTTGCAGGTAACGGGTTTTGAATAGTATCGCCTGGTATGAAAAGTTTTCCCAAGAAACCACAAAAGATTGTTCATTTATTTTTCCTCTTTGTTGTCAACTTTTTGCCGCACTCAAGTCAGTTCAAGTCCTAGCAAAAAGACAGTAGTTAGGACACCACTGCTGCTGTAGATGATGCGACACTGGTGGAATTTGTGCTGGCGTCTGTGTAGCTTCCCGCGCTGTTTGTGTTTGATTCATTGGGGGGCACTTGGCTTGAATTGGCTCGAAGGATTGCTCCGGCTGCACTGCAGTGTGGCCGCGGCCCTGGTTCTGGTGTGTAGGTAAAGGTAAGGCTGGTGGAATAAATGATTCCATCATTACGGACCAAAGTTACTGGAACCTGGACTGGCTGCCGGACCCATCTCCAACCTTCTCGGAATGCAGAAATGTCTGGGACGACACAGAGCATACTCTCTCCACATCTGAGAAGGAAAGATAAATCACTTAAAAGCACTTTAAAAAAGCAAAGCACATTTTAGAAATGAGACTTACTTAAAACAAGGTTGTTTAACACATTAGAATCAATGTCAGGAAAGAATCTCAGGTACACATACCCCTTACAACCTTTGGATGATGTAAAAAGTTTTATCAAGTACCTGTACATAGTTTCCGCTTCTACATCCCCAAACCACACTCGTAAATTTGGAGTGAAATTCTGTCCTGTGAGTTCAAGCATTGCTACGTCCCCGCCGCCATTCAACTGCAATTCACAGAAAAATCACAACACTGAGAAAACTTTTCATTTTTCATTAAAGTACACAAATTAGATTCCCATTCAACTTCCATTTGTTAAAAAATGTTCCTTTTAAATAGCATGGTTACAAAGCTAGCTAAAAACATTTTAAAATAACAAACAAGTTGATTTAAATTAAAATTTTCTTTCATATAAGTATGTTCCTATTTTTGTATTTTCTTAACAAATGATGTATAACAGAATCAAAATTCCCATGAAACAAAATCAGCCAAGTCACAGCAGAGAGCAGTTGCAAAGAGCTACAAGCCAACTGTGACTAAGAGGTCTCACCTGAAGACTCTCTACGACAGGCACAGGGGTGACGGGGGCCAGGACAGGGCCCATCCCCTCGTAAAATGTATACTCTGCCTTATCTGTGCTAATGATTGTCCAGGAAGCGCCATCATTTATCATCTCTTTATTTGGTTCTTTCGGGCATGGAGTGGCCTTATGAAGAAAGAATGTTTAGAAACTGAGTTGTATATACTTTGTAATACAAGAGAATTTTGCCAAAGTAACAGACTAGAATTAACAAGGACAGAATTTAATAGAAATTTATCAACTTCCTAAAGCATAGTGCTTTGCCAATCCCTAAATAAACACAAATAGAATATTAATATGGAAACTCCATAGATAGTTTTAGTTATAATACAAAATATTTCAGTGACATATTAAGCAATAATACCTGTCAGGATAACCATTAAGAGTACAGCAATACTGAGATAGTTTCATTAACATGTGACCGGCTGTTTAAAATTCTTTAGAAATCCCTGAGAAAGAGAGAATGGGAGCCCCCAGAAGCTATCTACTTTCAGAAAGGGGCAACCAAGACCTGAACTGGCAAGTCCCCACCTCTACTGTAACATACCTAGACCAGGGACCCAGCACGCTCATCAGAGTTGTGTATGGCCATTGCTCTGGAACGGGAGTTTACAAAGGAGTTTTGCATGAAACTATAACTATCCTATTAAATCATCTGCCCATGTCATGTCTCATAAAAGCCTTCTCAGTAAGAGTAATTAAAGATTAGCTTTTGAAGCACATCATCATTATCTTAGGAGACCCTAACATAAATCTGAAGAGCTTTTGAACCCTCCCCTAGAAAAATGCTTCATCTGTACACAGTAAACAATGTCTGCACACAATTTCGGAGGATTCTGTGAACACCGAAAATCTGTTGTTGAATATTCTGAGGGGCTCTTTGTTCACCAGATTAAGAACCCTGGAACTAGATTTTAACTGTTTCTTTGAGAACATTTTCCTAGTTTTCAGAGTTCTTCTCTGATGTAGGATTGCCACCATGTCTGAGGACATATGTGTTGGAGACCCTTGGACCTTAGATAAATATTTGATACAGCCACATGTATTTAGATACAATTAACAGCAAATGAGAACTGCATGTTTCTGTAAGCTGCCAGTAATTTAAAAACATACCTGAAATTGAATTATTCTCTCTTGAGAAAGGCACAAGTACATTCTTTCGGTATCCTTAAGGTAAAATGCACATTTATGGAGTTGTGACACAGGATCGTCTGCATCCAGTAATGCAGTCTGCTTATCAACTTTCCTAATTATCTGTATTTCAATAATTAAGAAATAAAAGGTCATCCACACATGGAAAACAATATTGAAAGCACACAGAAAGTACATGTGCTATATGATAATATATCACAGTTAGTTCCTTTGCCTACATATACAAAAACATTTGCAAATAATATGGCTAGCAATAAAAAACTCTTTTAGATTACAAGCATGTTAAAACGTGCAAATTGTTAGCCTCTTCCATGAACATCTAAAAAACTACTGAGCAGGCAGTCACTTGTTTTCTAGATCAGTGCTTTTAAAACTTTAATGTAACACAATCCATCTGGGGCTCTTGTGAAAAACACAGGTTCTGATCTGGCAGAGCCTGTGTGGGGCCAGACATTATGCATTTCTAACAAATTCTCACATGATGTTAATGCTGCTGACCTATGGACCATATTTTGAGTAGCACATGTACAATGACAAATATGCCAACATCAAAGGGAAAAATCTCTACAAGGCTACTGTGGGTGTGCTAGTCAGTGCAAACATTTTATATCCATTATCCAATACTTATTTAGAAACAAAACAAAATTAAACTAGTTTTGCAGATTAAGAAATGGGCTTAGATAGGTCAGGTGAATTGATCAAAATAACCTGGATAGTAGCTGAAGGACCAGAATATGAGCCCAGGGCTGCCTGCCCTGCCTGGCCTGACCTCTTTCCACTATACTGTAAAATCTTACTATCCAAATAGTCCACAAAACACATATGGATATCAGGAAAGATAATACCACCAAACCTTACTCTTGATACATAGAATGCAATCACTAAGTAGATGATGATGAAGAAGAGCAAGATTTTATATAGTAAAACCTCTTTTATTCTCATTTTCCTTTTTTACTGATCACTTCCAACAATATATAAACATGTGATAACTATTTCTCATCTTAAAATCAAAAGTAGTCTGGGCGTGGTGGCTCATGCCTATAATCTTAACAGTCTGGGAGGCATACACTCATCACTATATAAAATGTGCACTACATTATATGAGTATTTCTTTAGCTTTTTTTGTGTGTGTGTCTGTCCCTACCACAATGTAAACTCCATGAGATGAACTCTGTTTTGTTCACCACTGTATCTCCAGCATCCAGACAATGCCAGACGTTTGAGCTCAGGAGTTCGAGACCAGCTTGAGCAAGAGTTAGACCTCGTCTCTACTAAAAATAGAAATAAATTACTTGGACAACTAAAAATATATAGAAAAAAATTAGCCGGGCATGGTGGTACATGACTGTAGTCCCAGCTACTCGGGAGGCTGAGGCAGAAGGATCGCCTGAGCCCAGGAGTTTGAGGTTGCTGTGATGAGGCTGATGCCACAGCACTCTAGCCCAAACAACAAAGTGAGACTCTGTCTAAAAAAAAAAAAAAAAATCAGAAGTAAAGAAAACGTTTCCTGGACTACATGTCCCTGTCCTCCTCCTTGCTACCCACTTCTCTGCTCCACTTCATAGCAATCTCTTGCAATCTCTCCAGCCTTCTGTCTCAAAAACTCCACTACAACTGCTCATCAAAGCCATAAGGACTTCCAGACAGATGACTTTTGTGGCAATTCTCTGTCCTCACCTTAACTTCATTTGCTCAGAAGCATGTGACACAGGCACTCCCTTTTCAGGGGCTACACCTGCTCTAACTGACCATTAAGGTGCCCAGAGCCAAGTCCACAGACCTCTTCTCTCTTTATAACCTATATTCTCTACATGATGTACAGGTTGACAACTCACAAATTTATATCTGTAGCCTTATCCTCTCTCCTGCACTTATAATGTGTATATTTAATTACCTATTCAATATTTCCACTTACTATGTCTAATAGGCACCTCACATTTAACATATTCAAAACAGAATTTTGGATTTCCTCCTAAACTTGATCCTTCCCAACTCACAGTTCAATAAATGGCAGCACCATTCACTCAATCCAAAAACCTTAGAGTCATCCTTGACACCTTGCTTTCTCTCATACCCAAGCACCCAATCTGTCAGCAAATTCTGTCAGGTCCACTTTCAAACAAATCAGAAACCTCTCATCACCTGACCACTATAACCCTAGTCTGAAATACCATCGACTCTTGCCTGATTTATGACACCTGTCTCACTGCTGTCACTGCCACATCCCTATGCTCTCTTCTCCACACAGCAGCCAGAATTATCCTTCCTAAATACAAATCAGCCATCATGCCCTGTTTCAAACCCTCCAGTGGCCTTCTATCACACACAGATAACATACAGTCCCAACCCTAGATACAAGATCTTGTCCATGGCTACCCCGTGGCTTCAGTTCCTCTCCTCCCTCTGCTCCAACTAGCCTGGTTTCCTTATCATCCCTCAAACACTCTCTTCAGCACTCATTCGGTCTCCACGAAATGCTCCTCACTCCGTTAGTGGTTCCTTGACTTCATGCTGGTCTCTGTTCAAATTCCACCACTTCAAAAAGACTTCCCTAATCTAAGGACTCTCCAAATTCTCTATCCCTTTATCCAGTTTTAATTATGTATTCTCATCACTACATAAAATGTGCACCACATTATATGAGTATTTCTTTAGCTTTTTTTTTTTTGTCTCTGTCCCTACCACAATGTAAACTCCATGAGATGAACTCTGTTTTGTTCACCACTGTATCTCCAGCATCCAGACAATGCCTGGCACACAGAGGGTGCTAAGGACTATTTGTAGAATACATGCATATATCCATGAATGAATGCTCTGCCCCACAATCCTTCATAGTAACCTCTCACAAAGTTCAGTGAAGATTAAATCCATCAATATATGTGAAAGTGCTTAGAATAGTGCCATTGATATTATGCAACATATAGCTTTTAATACTCAACTCATGCCTCACTTATGCTCAAAGATCATTATCTTCAGCTAAGCCACAACTGTATAAAGCCCCAATCTCTGAAGTCAACATTCTTAATATTTACACATTTTTAGCTTTGCCGTTTATCAGTCAGAGTAATTGTTACCCTACTATCACCACTGATTTTGAGTTTAAAAGGAAGATATTACACTTTTAGCAATTAGTTTCTAAGATAGTCTATGAGGCTAATTAAACTCAAGCAAAATGTTTCAGATCAACACTAAAGTCTTATGGTTGTATTTAAATTCAATGAGGTTTGGATTTTAGAGAAATAACTGATTTTTTAAAATGATCTAAAGGAAGTCTAAAGCTTCCTTCCTATAAGTCTATAGCACTCACTTATGAGTCTCCACCACATGAGTCATGAGTTATTATAGAAATGCTACTTGTTTCTCCACCAGCTAGTAATAATAAGCACATTGGGAACATGGGCCATGTTTACCTTGTTTTTTATTTTTCACAACAGTTCTTTGGACATAGACATTGCTGAATGACCTACCTCTCACCAATAAAGAAACCCAAGATGTCTAAACATGGCACTAAAGGCTTGCTTTGATAATTTGTAACTATTAAGAAGGGGGGGAGAGAAATGTAAAAAAACAGGTAATATAAACAGGTAATATAAATTAAGCTGTGTGTGGTGGATTATACATCACAAAACATCAAGGGTTATTCCAATCAGTTCTTTCTTTCCTCTTAGCTGGTTTTGGAGATTACTGGTACGATATTTATTACTGTAATTCTGATGTTAAATGGATACAGCCCTTAAGGACAGTAAACATACCTTGTTCATACTTCTGACACCATACCTGCTAAATGCCCAATAAATGTTGGTGAAGTTTATGTCACTGGGTTATTCACCAAATGAGAGCAATGTACTTTCCATACCATACAGGGACAATGGTTATCAGTGCGATTCAATGGCACTGACAAAGCCTTAGGAGTGGAGCTATACTGGTGACAGAATCACTCTTATATGATCCCTACCCTTGGGGTATCTGATAGCCTTGATAAGTACTTGCAGTAAATGGCCAACAGTGGTTTCTTGTTACTTGGCTAGATCTATATCAATTATGCCTGTTTTGAGAGCACCCTAAGAAACAGGATTTTTTACTAGAACATTTATCCCACTGCAACTTGGTCTTGAAGGGATATAGTATTTTCCAAGGAAAGCTCTCTAATGAGGTTGATATTGTAGGAAGCATTAAAGGCCACCTTTCTGGCTAGGCATGGTGGCTCCCGCATATAATATGAACACTTCAGGGGGATGGCTTGAGACTAGCCTGGACAACACAGCAAGATCTTCTCTCTAAAAAAAAGAATTAGACAAGTGTGGTGGCATGAACCTGTACTCTTGAGCTACTTAGGAAGTCCAGGCAGGAGGATCACCTGAGCCTAGCAGATCGAGGTTACAGTGAGCTATAACCTTGCCACTGCACTCCAGCCTGTGCAACAGAACAAGACCCTGTCATTTAAAAGAAAAAAAGCCAGCTTTCAGATAATATGGTACGATTACCCTTATAATCCTTATAAAAAGCATATGGGCTGGGCGCGGTGGCTCACGCCTGTAATCCTAGCACTCTGGGAGGCCAAGGCGGGCAGATTGCTCGAGGTCAGGAGTTCGAAACCAGCCTGAGCAAGAGCAAGACCCCGTCTCTACTATAAATAGAAAGAAATTAATTGGCCAACTAATACATATATAGAAAAAATTAGCCGGGCATGGTGGCACATGCCTGTAGTCCCAGCTACTTGGGAGGCTGAGGCAGTAGGATTGCTTGAGCCCAGGAGTTTGAGGTTGCTGTGAGCTAGGCTGACGCCACGGCACGCACTCTAGCCTGGGCAACAAAGTGAGACTCTGTCTCAAAATAAATAAATAAATAAATAAGCATATGAAGGCCACAGAACACCATCATTATTGAAAACTGTGTATAAATGAAGGTCAAGGGGGGTCGGAAGTAGTATAGACATCTAAATCCATCTATAATTTGCTAAGTCAGAATTCTTCAGTCATGGAACCTCTTTCTAGACATATTTATCAGCATGCTAATGATGGCACTACAACTTTCTCTAATATATTATCTATGTTAATTTTTTAATGCAACATTTTAATAATCAGAGCCACATAGTTTTGGGTATGAAAAATTCAGTTAAAGATGATATTCAAGCAAGGCAGACTATTGTACTTTACATAAAAGAGTGAAAAACAGTGTTAAGATTTGGGTCTGCTTTCTAAGTGGTCTGTAAGCTGTTGCTGATCAGAGGCATAAGGCTCTGAAGTTGTGCTTCTATAGAACAAGCAACTAATACCAAAGCAAACAAACATCATCTTTGGCAAAGAGTAACACATAATGAATGAGAAGAGAAGAACTGAGTAATTGTTTTTTGTTTGCTTCTGCCTTCCTTTCCATTTTTTACACCCTTCCTTTACATCCTTTTTTCTTTCTTTTCACCATTCTTGGTAAGATTTGTCCTAATTGCAGAGTTTTACAGATTGTTATTAATATTACCACAGTCATGCATTTTAGTTTATTAAATTGAAATGGGGGGAATCATCTCGTTATAATGACACAGAAAAATAAAACAAAAATAAATAAATACAAAGAAATGATACATTTGCTAAGACAGCTGTAGATCCACCCAACTTCTGCTGAAAGAGCCCCAGAAAATAATGAAATATCTCACCAAAGTGAGAAATATAAGGCATGCTCAGAACAGTAGTAATATTAATGCTATTAATAAATGTTCTTCTGTTAGCCCAAGACTCCCCCAACCTGACCTTGAATCAATCATACTCATAAATCCCCTTCATCTTTAGTATAACTAAATGGTATTATTTCAGAAAACGAGGGGGGAAAACTGGAGGTGGGGGATTGGAGTTGTAAGGGACTTTTGTTTTCATTTTACTGAGAAAAGCAATTTTTACTTTCAAGATCTTCTAGTGAACAAAAGCCCTAAATCCTATTTTTCTCCCCCAAGTAAGAAATACTAATTTTATTTATAGTTAATAAACTTTTCTTCTTGTGAGAGTAAGCTAATACAAATTATGCTTATATTTTAAAAGAAATAAGAATTTCTTCACTTTTAGAAACTTGGTACTACATTGGGATATAGTAGGTACCACAAAAAATGAATACATTATATCTGCATTAGTAAAGGAAAAAAACTTAATGCAATTTATAGTGCCCTCTATTGAACATGTTTAGGTATACAACCAAAAAGGAAACTGCCACCAAAATTTATTAGAAATACTGTAAGAGGAAGTCATTAGAAATGCAGTTTTGGAAATTAACTAATTACTTTAAAGCATTTCTGAAATAAGGTAGAGTGTAATCGTCATTATTAACAGCAGGGATTATTGTCATAACTTTTTAAATTAAAAAGCAAGAAACTGAGATGTATTTTTACATTTGAATGTTGTGATTTTCCTATTTTAAGAATTAACTTCTACTTCACATATCATTCAACCAAAAGTAGAGCCATACCAATCTTGGGAGTGCCATGCCAGTAACTGAACACACAAGTTTGACTGTTTGTCCATAATGGATGTACCCATCTCGGACTGTGAATTCTTCTCCTTCTGATTCATCATCATCCACTGCAGCAAGAGGAAAGAGATCAAATTATCACCTTTTAGAATTCATGATCTGCTTAGGAAAATAACAAAACAATATATCCATATATCTTGTTATCAAAAAGAATTTAACAACTTCACACTAAAATCATCAAATGCATATTTTCATACTCACAGAGATGAATGTAAAATGCTCCCCATTGTTGTGAACTGGCATGGAAATTACCTCCTTCTACGTGCAAGTATCTGGTACTAACTGTCTGGGATCGAAGTCGATTAAACAGAGCCACCTTTGTTCCTGAGGCAATGCATACTGCAAAGGAAAAACAGTTCTTATGTGGACTGGGGCACAGGGCACAAGATAACTCTACTTGGCAAGTTGTGACTATTCTTGATTACAATTTAGCATGTAACAGATATAACAAATATTTTAACCTTCCAAGAAAATACAGATACCAAAATAGCTTAATGTCAATAACGTCTTAATATCAAGCTAATGATATCAAATATGTCCATAAAATAAAAATCATCTTAAAATGAGAGCTACACAGTATACTTAGTGTAGTACTGATTTTTCTATGAAGAGGAAAAAATATTTTAAAAATAATAAATGTCCAGGAATTCACTGAAATAAATTACAATACTATTCACCCATTTAAACGATGTATATCTAAATATACTGAAAAGAAAACATCTCCTTTGAATATCACTGAATGGAAAAGTAGGCTATGAAACACTCTGTATGCTGTGGTTCCATTAGCCAAACATATGTGCCTGCATATTTGTCTCCATGTGCTTGCATCCAATCCTATAAAATATATGCCAAGGAAAGGGTCTAGAAGGATGTTTACCAAAGAGGCAATTGCCTCATGTATACTGTGATTTTAGAAAATTTTGCTTTCTTCTAAATACCTTATACCTTAAAGTATTATATTATAGCATAAAATTTCTTGAAGAAAAAAACATCTGTGTAAGCAGGAAAATATTCTGAAAGTGAAATACATTCTCTGCCATCAAGAAACTAATATTCAATACAAATACAAAGTTAAAGATATTAAATAAAACCCTGTAATTTGGAATGTAATTAGCCCAAATACAAGATTAAATGTCTCCTGGTATAGGAGAACACACCATCACCTATGAAATAGGCCTTGCCTTTCAGCAACAAAAAAAGAACCAAAGAACAGCAACTTTAAACCTGATCAAGCTTCTAGATTAACCACTGACAAAAGATCCTCTCCTTCACCAAACTTTTAGTGTTTGTCCTTATGTCCTATCATTAATCTACTTAGCCCAGTTGTAGCAAGAATCCTGCTAAGTCATCCCCTCATCCTTGACATACAATCGCCTTGGCTTGCCTTTAGCTGGAATCCTGTTAAGTGGGGTTAGCAAAGAATCCCCCTACCTGTGATGCCTCCTCTTAATTTTCCATCCATTGACCCCCTCACTCTGCTCCTTGGCTATAAATCCCCCCTTGTCTTTGTTGTATCTCAGAATCAAACTCAGTTCTATACTTAAGTCTCTTTTCCCCTACTGCAATAGTACTAAATGAAATCTGTCTTTTCAACTTTAAGTAGGGTCCAGCTGTTTCTTTCTAATGCTACCAATTTATAAAAATTACATTAAACCACACCAAAGGAATGAAATTAGCAAAATTCAGTATATGCAACTCTTAAAGGCCAAATAACTCAAGTCTCTTGAATAAATAAATTGCAGATGGTGCTTCATAGATTAAAGGTTATTTAAGGATATATTAATATAATAATATTGTAAAATCTGATAGATTTGTATCCTGATTCTAACAAATTGATTTTTAAAATGACATTTTAGACAATTTAAATTTGAATACTGACTGGATATTTGATGATATCAAGAAAGTATTTCTTCTTATAGTTGCTTTATATGTTGTTTTTATGTAATCATGGTATTGTGAATATATTAAAAAGAGAGTCCATCTTTTAGAGACACAGACATATTTACAGATGATATTATGTCTGGGATTTGCATCAAACTGAGGGCAGAGGAAAATGAGGCTAGGGTATGGTATAAATAAAGATAAAATAAGATTGGTCTAAAGTTAAGAACACTGCTGATGTTAAAGGATGAACCTAAGAGGTTTCATTTTATTACGCAACTGTCTACTTTGCTGTCTTTGAAATTTTCCATAATATAAAGTAAATGACATTAAGAAGGACTGAGTAGATTAAAATACATCGAATACATAAAAATCCATGAGTTCATAATACAATAAAATAAAAAGCAAGCAAATAAAACAAAACCCCTAAAACCTTCACTGGCTACTTTCAAAGATTATTATTACTCTACTAATGAGTAAACAGTCCAGCTAATCCTGCCTTTTCTCAACAGACTACCTTTGAAGCAAACAGCCAATAGACCAAAGTCACTCTTTGTAAGAAAACTCCAGCTAACAAATGCAGAAGTTATGAATAAAAAATAAGAAAATCACCTATTTGCAGTCCTTGATGAATTGGATTTAAGCAGCCATCATCAATGGCTACAAAAGCATTTGGTTAAAGGTTGCTGGGGAACTTTATGGATGAATTAGAATCATTAGACTAACAACAGCTGAACTTATTATAATCAATCTTAATATGACAAAAAATGGGATAGTAAGATATATGGCTTCTGATCCAATGGAAATGAATGTGCATAGTACCAACTTAATTCTAAAAGTCTTTAAGTCCAACCACCAGTTCATGGAAAATATGAGAGAAACATATAATCAGCCAAATCCAGAATATAAAAATTCCACAGAAAAAATGAGCTAGTTTCTTCAACAAGTATATGACATGGACGGAAAAAAGGTGGGAGAGGGAGAAGAGAAGAAACTCTTACAGATTAAAGTGTTTGGACCTTGTTGGAATCCGGGTTTGAATAAACCAACTATAAAATAAAACAAAAACAATTGTAACAAGACATTGGTGAGACAATCTGATAAATCTGTACATGGAATGAATATTAGATGGCATTAAGGAACTACTAACAACTTTGATAGGTTTAATGATGTTTAAAAAGAAAAGTCGCATTTTAGTCACTACCGCAGACATTTTGGTTGAAAGGACAGGATCACTGAGATTTACTTACATTATAATATTCCAGCATTTTGAATAGGGAGAGGTGTTGGTAGTGATGGAAATAATGAAACAAAATTGGTTAAACCTGTTGGGGCTAGGTGGATGTACATTATACTTCTTTTCCCCTTTTATATAAATTTGAAAGTTTCTATAATAAAAAGCTGAATTAAAAAAAAAAAGAAAAATGGTTGTAGAGGTTGAAATGTACAATTTAAACACAGTATGTATCTTTGGTAGTCTAAAATTAATTTGCTGATGGGACACTAGTCTCTGTTAGAGCAACCATCTTTAAAATTTTGTTTAGGTTCTCAGGATGGCTTCCAAAGTCCATGTGACTTTTCAAATGGGTGATATTGACATTCAGAGCAGATCAATTCTTTGCGGGAATGGGAACTTTCTTGGGCATTGTAGGACATTTAGTAAAACTGGCTGAAGATATCCAATGCCAGTATCATCCCCTCCAGTCATTGTGACTACAGAAGAAAAACACCTCCCATTTCCTAAATGCTCCTGAGCAGCACTAAAGAACGAATGTGGTTGAGAACCACTTCATTAGACCATTTTCAATTAAAAAAAAAAAAAGACAATAAAGAGGGCCACAAAAATATTAATAAAGACTGAACTGGCTATTGAAAAAGCAATTTTAATTTGAAAAATAATTTGTGTTATTAATTCAAGGTGGCAGCTGGGGACAAATAAGAAAACTCAAGCATACATACAGTCAGCATTTTTCAATGATTGCTTCTTTTTGGAAGGTTTGGAGATGACCTTTATCCGCTTGCTGAGGAACACACCAATGTCATCACTATTGCCATAGAACATCTTTACAGACAACATGAAGTGCTTCCTCTTGTCTGAATCAGATATGTATAATGTTTTGGCTGTGCAATAGTTCTGTGAAAGAAAAGTAAAGTTTTATACCACCAAAACTTTGTTGGTTATGTATCTACAACTCAGAATGGCCATGGTTAGGTTCGATCTGGTTTAAATGAAATAATTCCAATGGATAGCTGATAAAAATTTACCAACTGTAAAAATTACTCAAATTGATCTCTGAAAAAAGTACAAAATCTTCCTTATCAAGTCTGTAAGATACAAACATTGTGATACATTGTACCCTTTTTAAAAGACTGTTTTTAAAGTCTTTTCTTGTTTTATTTAGCACTACATCTGCTTCACGGAATTAGCAGTGTTACAGTTATTTTTAAAAATGGAAATTTTACAGTTAAAAAAAGCTATGACTATCTTTCTGCAAAGAAAAGATATAAATAAGGTTATAAGAATTCAATAGAATTATGTAAAAGATTTAGGCAGTGGTCCTTCTCAAAATAGTACACAGAATGTTTTCTTTACATAGCTGAATGCTAGAGTAACCACTTATAAGTCTGAAGAAAACAACGCTGGACTAACTGGATGATTATAAAATATCTAAAACCAGAAAGAGATTACATTAGTATGCTTTAAAGAACTATTTTTAAAATGGTTAACTTTGCCCAACGGGACCATTCATATTTCATCACTAAAAGAACTAAATTTAAAAGTACTAGAGAAAATGTTCAAGGCATTATGCAGTTTACCAGAGCAAAAATTCTGATAACTGAAAAGACAGTATAAAAGAGTTATAGCACTCAACAGACAGCAAAGACACTTCAAAATGCTATGATTTCAATCACATGTGGCAATTCTAAAATCTTTCCTATTCCCCTGATCCCTGTGAATTAGGGAGGGGCCTAAATTATTGACCTCCTTTTCCAGACATTTTAAATATGCCCAAACACAGTATAAGTATCTAAAATAACTGACCTATATTTTTTAAAAGATCAACACTGCACTTTAAAATTAGACTAAACAAATTTCTTCAACTACCTCTGCTGTGTGTTCCTTTACAAAAGCAGAGCAAATGCCACTCGTTTAGGAAATAGTTATTGACTTATGTTTTAATCTTTAAAATTTTACTCATAGGCAAGCCTTAGTAGCAGACAAAAATAGTGCAATAGTTTATTTCATTTCTCATAGCAAAGTTATTTAAGAAAATGTAGGTGCCATCTTGAATATTCTACATTCAATTAAGTTTTTAAAATTCAAAAGTTTGGTGAAGGCTTTAAGAGGCTTTGCTCTGCAGAAGGCAAAATAAGATAAAATTATTAATAATAGTAATAAGAAAAATAAAAACAACAGTACTTTGCAGTCACACAGCTTCTTTCACCCAAGGATCTCCAAAGCACTCAGAGATGGCATCTGTGAGCTGCTGTGTCCATGGGTCCGCCATACATTTTAAAATGACAGCACTGACGGTCAAATTAAGCCTAAACAATGGAATTGTTCTGCAACATAAGATGAGGTCTATGAAAATGGGTATCAATGTACTAAAGATGACAGTAATAGGAAGCAAAAATGAAATGTGCATCTAAATGAAGGGAATTACATTCTAATGGAAAATCTTAAAAATGTTGAGATCACCTAATTTTTAGTGTTAAAACTAATGGATATTATCTGTATCAGGAAAGAGAAAATGCTGAAATGTAGCATAAATGGTAAGACACATAGGCAAACAGGTAAAGAAAAAAGGTCAGAGAAGATGGGATCCTAAGACCTACACACAAAGGACTTCATTTTATTCAGAAAAAACAAACATGCACATCTCTTTGGAAAGAAAGGAAATATAACCCTAATTACAATGAGTAGTTTGAAATCATAAAAATCATACCTGAGGTAACTTTATTGGAACTATTACTTTTAAAAAACTTTAAGGCCACTGACCAGAACCAATTCAAATTCCGTAAGAAAAAAAAGAAAAAGTCATTCTTAGAAAATAAGCAAATAAAAGTTAAAATTACATTTTACAATACTAAAAAGCTAAATTAGTTAACAGAATTCTAGAAGAGAAAATGGCATAAAATAATCTCTTTAAAAACAAGTCTTCGAAAATCTTTAGGCAATAAAAGCATTGCCCTGAAACAAAGAAATATCAATTCTAACACTGCAAAAATCATACCCTATTAGTAGGTGTTTTAAATACTAGTTAAAAGCTTGAGTTTTCAGATATTCTATTCCTCTATTGCCAATTTCTAGGCCTTAGGGAATGGGTATAATGATAGAAAATTTTAAAAAGGTATGATACAAGATAGCAGAAAGATTTCCATGCTGAGGCAGCCCCTAAAGGTATAAAACTTGAACATGGCACTACTAAGCTATGATGCTGAGAAAGGCAAGCAGTTATGCTATTGGTTGATTTGTTTGGTATTACCTTACTTAAAATTACTGAAAGCTGGAATTCATTAAGGCAAACAATCAAGTTCTATTAAACAGTTATATACACTGGTAGCTAGAATTCCTGGCTTCTCACTACCTATTCTGATCCACTCATTCATAATACTGAATGTCTAAATGTAGAGCTTACAGGCATGTAACTCTGAGACTTTCTCTATAACAAGAAAACAGATGAGACATTGCTAAGATCTATTAGATCAACCCACCACTTAAATATACTCTTTACTCAAGGGTCATAATTTAGAATGGTTTTACTGATTTATTTTAAGATGAAATAATCTTCAGTTTAATAAGTATTACCCCAAAACTAATTTAAAATACATAGTCAACAAGTCTTACTGATAAAAACTGATAAAAACCATAAAGCTATAAATAACATACAAATAGCCAAATTTGAAAGAGGTTGACATTGAGGGTTCTTAGTACCCACAATCTGTAAAATTACTAAAATTGAATTTTGTTTTTTAAAGACAGGGTCTCACTCTGTCACCCAGGCTAGTATGCAATCATAGCTCATTGTAACCACAAAATTCCTGGGCTGAAGTGATCCTCCTACCTCAGCCTCCCAAGTATCTAGGACTATAGGTGCATGCCACCATGTCCAGCTCCATTTTTTCTTATAGAAACAGGGTCTTGCTATGTTGCCCAGGCTAGTCTCGAATTCCTAGCCTTGAGTGATCCTCCTGGCTCAGGCTTCCAAAGTGCTAGGATTACAGGCGAGAGCCACCATACCCAGTCCTAAAAACTGAATTTGAGAGTACAAATCCCCTAGCTCGCCCCCCTCAACACTATCCTCCAACCCCTATTCCTAATGCCAAATAAAACAAACATTAAGATGTTCAATAAAGATTTATCAAGTAAGGGAATAGCTTTTTATGCACTATTTTAAAAGACATTCAATGTTCTGATCTCAATGTAGTCATTAAATAGCCATTTAAAAAAATTCCTGCCACACAAATGAATGAAAACTACATTCTGGGACCATGGTACCCCTTAAAGGGAAACTAGCAGTCCTAATTTACCTTTCCTTCCAAGTTTAGCTGCTGCATTTCTTGGTCACTATTCCCTATTCCAATAAATGCACATGGTTGAGACTCTTGTTCAGAACAACCATCACGTTCCATTTGTTCTTTTTTTTTCTTCCATCCACTGCCCATAAGATACACACAAGGAGGAGGGCAAAAGAACCTGAAGAATAGGAAAAGAACAAAAACACAAAGCAATTAGATTTAAGAAAGTATTTCCTTTTCTTTTTTCCCCTTTTTATTGATTCATAACATTTTACATATTTATAGGACACAAATGGTATTTTTTACATGTATAGAATGTATAATAATCAATTCAGGATATTTGGGATATCTATCACCTTGGGTATTTATCATTTCTATGTGTTGGGAACACTTTAAGTTCTCTCTTCTAGCTACTTTGAAATATACAATACATTGTTGCTAACTGTTAGTCACTCTATTGTGCTATGGACTATGAGAACTTACACATTTTTATCTAACAATATGTTTGTACCCATTGACTAACTTCTCTTCATTCCATTTACTTTCCTTGAACATTATGTATACAAAACCTTACTGAAATGTACTCAGCGCCTAATGAAAAATGTTTGGCAAGGCCTTCTGTAACATAAATAATCATGTGTACTGAGGGGAAAGAAGAAAGCAGGAAAGGGGAACTTGAAACAGAGATGACCTGGGGTGGCCAGAGAAAGCTTCCTTAAGGAGGGGACTTCCAGTCATGACCTAAAGCCACATGGACATCTGGGACCAGGAACATTACAGCAGAGGGGAGAGCAAGAGCAAAGGCTCTGATGGGAAGAATTCTGACCAATAGTGAGGAAAAACAAATAGACCAGAGTGACTGGAGTAGAGAAGAGGGAGATCAATAGGGGGTGAAGACAGGTAATGGGCAAGCAGATCAAGTGGGCCCTGGGGATCACACTGAGCAAGGAGGGAAGCCTCTGCAGTCTTCTCATATTTAATTAAACCAATAAAAAAGAAGAGCAGCTTTCATGCATGTATACTCACACTGAGGCCATGGTTATAAAGGTCACAGCCAAGGTAGTGGGCCCAGCTCCAGGTCACTCCAATTTTGGAGGGATGCCTGGATTAGCTAGGCTAGTTTTGGAGTTGATTCAGTTCAAGGCTATATCAGGGATCTTTCTGGCTTCTAATGCTGGAAGCCACCCAATGCTCACCATGGCACTGACTCAAATACCTAGACTGGCATACTCTCTGGAGGTTGAGAAGGCATCACTTTTGGAAACATGTTTCCTGTTAGCATATTATCAAACTCTGATATTAAGACTCCTTACTAAATTGGTATGCCAATGATAAAATCCAAAGAGCTATTCTTTAGTATAATACATGGTGAGTATACATTATCCAAAATACTTGGGACCAGAAGTGTTTTGGATTTCAGATTTTGGAATATCTGCATTTATATTTACCAGTTGAACATCCCAAATCTGAAAATTCAAAATCCAAAATGTTCCAATGAGCTTTTGAGCATCATACTGACACTCAAAATATTCAGATTTTGGAGCATTTTGGATGTTTGGATTTGAGATGCACAACCTGTATACCAAATGTAATAGTCAAATCTCAACAAGTTATTAAAAAAAGGTTTTTATTTCACATTTGAAAAATCTAAAGAGAGCTAAAATGATAAAAGAATGATTAGTGCCGGTTTTCTCAAGAGTATTGTGACAAAATGCATGAAACTAACAGGGTTGATGAGAAATTTTTTACTCAAAATACTGACCAATGTTCTACCCCAAAAGTGGTTTTCCAATCATGTAATAAATGTAAGAAAAATGAAGATTCTCCAACAGGCTCTGAGCTAGCCTTGTTTTTATTTTTATTTTATGTTGACTACAAATTATTCAAAAAATGTATGATGGAAGAAAACAGCAAATCTAATGTAATCTAAACATTGAGGTTATTTCTATCATGTGATGATGAAATCATATCTTAAAAACATCCCAATACTGTCACCCCCTAAAATATAGCAAATAAATCAAATTTTCATTTCCATACACTTCAGTAATAACACAGTAATCAAACAGAAGATAAGCATACATACAAAAAAGGGAAGAATACAGGAAAAAGAAAGGAAACTAAAGGGAGCAGGTTAAAATCATCCAAATTAACAGAAGAAAAATTAAACTACATCTCTATAATGGTGTGTGAAACCAATGATTTTTTTTTTTAATTTGGACAGTTGGTCAATAGGTACCAAATACTCAGTGAACTGAGTTTTACCAATAAGTGGTTAGCTTACAGAGTTTAACAGCTGCTATAAATATATCCTATGAAATAATGTTGTCTTTATTTTCTCATCTTTCCCAGTAGTTCTATCAAAGTAACTATGATAAACAATGCTTTTCTCTGCCACTTGGTGGCAATGTGCACACATTTAAGATTTTATTCATTTCCAAGTTCAAATAATCAGTCTTTTATTTTCAGAGAACGTTTCAATAATTTTTTCCTCAAATCTTGAGATGAGGTTTGAAAACTACCTTACAGAATTAAAAGGTTTTTTATTCAGCCCAGTATATAGTAAGTTAGGTTAAACAAAATCCAAACTCATGTCATTTATATTATCTGACTACCTTTGCAGAATCATTACCCGTAATCACCAATTATTCAGTTTAAAAGGAGCATATTTAGGAACTTTTTGCAAACTACAATTACTCCAATTAACACAATTCTCAATGTGACTTCAGAATCACAGTGTAATTGTCTAAATGGCTTTACTGTTAATTTTCTCAACAGTATCACTATAACTACTGCTTAATTACTTCCTTCTAGAAAGTTGAATCTTATGTCACACAGCATATTAACATTTTCTCTAGAAAAAATAATCCTTTTAAAAGTTTATGTTTTAACCTAGGATGCCCTTCTTTAATGAAAAATTGTAACTGATCACTAACAAATGGGATACTAGATGTGCTACACAAATAAGTATTAGTTAATATTAGGCATAACAGTTGATATCAAGAACAATTTTAAATTTTAGAATAAAATTTCCTGAGCAAATATTTTTAGCATCATTCACTGGAGTTATTTTATATGCCAAAGGGACATGGGCCAAGAAGACTGTAGTCATGTCCCCAGGTAACCTCCCAAACCAGGATCAGTAAGCAGGCAGATCATCTTCTTTCCATTGTGCACTCCAACAAGGAACCAAACCCTCCTATTTTAACAGCACTCCCCAAGCTTTCTGGCACCAGGAACGGGTTTTATGGAACACAATGTGGGGGAGAACTGGAGTGTCATTGGTGGGGGTGGGATGCTGGTGGGAGTGGGATGTGGGGAGTTCAGGTGGTGATGTACTGGCCGGTTTCCTAACAGCCCACTGACCTTACCCAGCCTCAGTGGGAGTTGAGAACAGCAGCCTTTTAATACACTGCCATATGAATTGTATTAAACTCAAGCTAGTTTTGAGCCCTGGGGCCTTGTGAAGCAAAACCCTAAAATTGGTTCATGACAATCTTACTTGTTGATGTTCTTATTGTTACAATTAATATTGATAATTTAGGCCTGGTGGGGTGGCTGATGCTTGTAATCCTAGCACTCTGGGAGGCAGAGGCAGGAAGACTGATAGAGGTCTGGAGTTCAAGACCAGCCTGCACAAGAGCGAGACTCCATATTGACCAAAACCAGAAAAAATTAGCCAGGGTGTGGTGGCGCCCACCTGTAGTCCCAGCTACTCAGGAGGCTGAGGCAGGAGGATCGCTTCAGCCCAGGAGTTGGAGGATGCAGTGAGCTATGATGATGCCCCTGCACTCTAGCCCAGGTGACAGAGTGAGACTCTATCTCAAAAAAAAAGACAATTTAAACACATGGATTGCATTGCACATAACTCACCCACAGAAAACAATACAAAATAACAAATTAGAAAGGATAGTTTTGTTTTAATAAAACACAGTGGCCCCAAGGGGAAAAAAAAATTTTTTTCTAGCATGGCAGTCAATGTCTTAATCTCAAGCTTCAGCAGAACTTGACAGTTGTACAGAGGGCTAGACTTGCATTAGCAGTCCCTTACTACTAATACTTTTGTTTAAAAAATTTTTAAATGAAGTAAATTTAACAGGTATACCCTTTTATTATAAAGTAATGCATGTCTCCTTTGGAAATTTTAACAATACAAATAAGTCAAAATATAGTAAAATAATTACTCTGGCCTTGTCATAATTTTTTCTTCATATTTTTAGAGGCCTTAAAAAGCTTAAATTATTCAGGCTTTCTTGTGACTGGAGTTTTAGACTAGCTAGGTCATATCAAACTAATAGAAAAAAAATTGAAAATAAAAGCTACTTCAATAAAAGATAAAATTTCTTTTTTTAACTTGATAAGCCTCTACAGGTCTCTATTCATATTTTTAACAGAAACGGATAAACAAAAACCTTATCTGGACTTAACATAATTTTTTGAATAGCTCTTCCCCTTTTGTTTTCTCCACTGGGCATGGGTTATCCATCCTAGTATTAAATGACATAGTGACTTTTAAAACTCACAGTAAAGTCTCCCCCCACAACCACGCTTGATTAGCTTAAAAAAAAAAAAAAAAAAACTCACAGTAAAGATCCTTTTGTATATAATCTGACCCCTAATAGGTGATCAGAAATATGGAATAAATGAATCCAAATGTACTAAAATGAATCTTTAAAAATTCAGAGAAAGAAAAGCAGCCTGCCCAAGTTTGAAGCTATATGATAAACATGTATCTATTCATAATTCAGTCAGAACCAGCCAGTCTCACCTAGCTAATAACAAAAGGGATGGTCCTAGGCAAAATTTACAATGTGTTTTTTTTGGGGGTTTTTTTTTTTGGGACAGAGTCTCCCTTCTAGCTCACAGCAACCTCAAACTCCTGGGCTCAAGCAATCCTACTGCCTCAGCCTCCTGAGTAGCTGAGACTACAGGCATGTGTCACCATGCCCGGCTAATTTTTCTCTATATATTAGTTGGCCAATTAATTTCTTTCTATTTATAGTAGAGACAGGATCTCACTCTTGCTCAGGCTGGTTTCGAACTCCTGACCTTGAGCAATCTGCCCACCTCGGCCTCCCAGAGTGCTAGGATTACAGGCATGAGCCACCCCTACCTACAATTTTTATACTCAAATATCTTTACTTCCAGGGCCAGGCATGGTGGCTCACGCCTGTAATCCTAGCACTTTCAGAGGCTGATGTGGGAGGATCTCTTGAGCTCAAGAGTTCAAGACCAGCCTGAGCAAGAATAAGACCCCAACTCTACAAAATATTAAAAAACTGAGCCCAGCGAGGTGCCGTAGACCTGGAGTCCCAGCTACTTTGAGGCTGAGGCAGAAAGGTTGCTTAAATCCAGGAGCTGGAGGTTGCAGTGAGCTTTCCTGATGCCACTGCACTCTAGCCTGGGCCACAGAGCAAGACACTGTATATACATATATCCCCTTTTATTACTGGTAGTTTTTAAAGTCACTATGTCATTTAATACTAGGACAGATAACCAACAAATAGGGCAACAAAAAGAATAAGAAATTTGGAATTAGAGCTTCAGAAGCTCCAATCCTAACTATACAGATTCCTAACTAATGTGAACCTTGGCATGTTTAAGGTCACTGACGTTTAGTTTCCCCACCCGGAGAATGGGGATTATAACATGCCTCCTTTATTATAAGACTGCTCTGAGGATTAAAATTTTAAAAATATTTATAAAGCATTTCAAAAACAATGTTTAGCTCATGATTGGAGCTGATATGAAAACTGTTTCTACTTCAGATTCACTATGTGGTGCACGGTTGGCCTTTTAGATTCTTCTTCAGTAATGAGGGTACTGACTTGTTTTGCTTAGAGAACAAATGATTTGCTATATATACACACAGTAAATCATCACTAGAAAAAAAATTCTGAATTTCATGAAAAAGAGATGTTATTCTATAACCCAAACTATAGATTGATACCAACCTCTTCCCATATTTAACCCTAAATCAGTAATTAAGTTTTATTAGTAAGATGAAATAATCAAAAATTTAACAAACCTGAAAACACTTATGAATCGTAAATATTGTTTTCACTTATTCATATTCTTTAATAACTTTACTTTTTCAGCTCAGATTTAGTTGGCTTTAAGAAAGTAACCTCTTAATTTTCTTCTAGCATGTAAATGATTATATACTTGTATTTTGCCTTCTTCTCTGCATATGCTAAGGTTTCCTTTATGTCACAAACTTTAAGATTCTACTCATTCCTTCCAACTCAACTCCAAAACCTGACTTTTCATTCCTCTTCCCTTTAGTTTGGTACTTTTCCAGCTAATCCAAAAAAAAACTCTGATCTTTTCCCACAAGCCAGCTATCTTTATCTAGGAAGTGATTAACCAAAAGATGCTGTCTGAAAGACAAAGACTCAATAAACTATTCACAGAAAATTTCAGGAACCAAGCAGATAAACTAACAATAAAAGTCCACAATTATACACAAAAAAACGCTGAAATTTACAGGATACCAGGAGAAATAATTTAAAGATCACTTTGTTCTAATATAATTTTGGCTATTCTACTTTACAGACAATTTTTGTAGTGCCTGCATTCAGGTGCTATAAGAGTATGAATGCAGTTTTGGTGTTTTTTCTTAACGACCACCAGAATAGGCACAGGGTCAAGGAAGAGAGGGCCAGGAATTCTTTTCTTTATAATCGCTCCATCCATAGGTCAATTCAAACTGAATTCAGGACAGTCTTAGGATCAAGGGTTTGTTTACCGTTTTCCTTTTTAAAAATGTACTTCTGGGGTCACATTTGTTTATAAAACCACATTTTCCACCAAAAGGAAAGCTTCTTTGTGAATAAGCTACTGTATTATGGAAATACTCTGGGAACAACACTATGTGGCCCAAATGAAAAATTGTGGATTATTTCATTTTGTAAGATTAGGGATTTAGCCAGATGATCTTTACTATCTTCTCCTTCTGGCTTGAGTATGCCACAATTCACTTTGTCTCTCCTCTCAAGAGACAAATCCTGGTTTTCATTTTGTACAAGGCAAATTAACCTAGTAACAGAAAGCATCATTTGACATTCATATTAATATATCATTTGCAAATTCATGTGATAACTACAATTAACTATCCACCAGAAAAACAATAATCTTACCTTTTTTCATTTCCATATGACTTCTGTGCAACTTTTGCATGAAGAATAAGTACTGTTTGATCCCCTCGCTCTTTCAAATAATTTCGCATAGCTTCCCTAAAATCAAATATAAATATTACTATTACAAGGGTGAAATTTTGGATGAAATCTTTCTTCTTTATTACTATGCTCTGTAATAAGAGGAATGCTCATATTTTTTTAAATAAGCAAATCTAAATTCAAAAATAAACCAAAACAAATCTATGAATTCGAAGATTATATAATGGGACAATACATACTGCTCATTTTCAACTCTATACTTTATTCTTTACAAGAAGAAATTGTCCCTCGTTCTTTGGAATATATGATGCAACTCAATTAAACCCCACTTACAACTCAAGAATAACTAGAATCAATGTATACACTGGTAATGTAGCTTTATTTATAAAGTTAATGAAACACAATACTTTTACAGCTTAATAATCTAGTACTCCCCCTCTCCCCAGTTTCAGTATTTTTCATGAATACAAAAGCCACAAGAAATCATCAGGCTATCTAAATTCATTATTACATGATCCTAAACTGACATTCCTATGAGGACTAAGAAAGACCTATAATTTACATAAAATATCTAATTTTCTAAAGGATGCTACTAAATAGGTAGTGTTTAATAAAAGCTAATTGAAATGAAAAAAAAATTCAAATTTTGGAAAAATACAATGTTAATTCCTTCAAATACAAACAAACTACTGTAACTACATGCTTACTAAGCAAATGTTCTATAAAAAGTTCAATATCTTAAATATATTTACATATCCAATTATTTTTATATGCAATATTGTATATTACAAAGAATGTATGCTCTACACAGATCAAACTATAACAATTCTCAATCAGTAGAATCCCAATTTTTGAATTTTTTACATATCACAAAATAAAATGCTATTCTATTTTATTATAAATAAAGACAGATGTAAATAATAAGAGGATAGCTATAAAATAGTAGTGAGTTATTAAATGTGGGAAACTTTAGATTTATAGCACTTACACACTAAGGCCTGGGGCAAATCATTTAACCTTATCCAGCCTGTTTCCAGATCTGGAAACTAGAGATAATAACACCTACCTAACACAGGGTGGCCATGGAGACTAAGCATTTTGTATTTATTGACTGAAAAAAACTGTTAGCTGCAAGGCAGAGAAGGTAACACCAGGATATAAATAGATTGAGTACTAATCTCTACCACTGAAAAGGACCTCAAAAGTCCACATTTTAATGAAATACAATTATCCAAAGAGAGGTATGTACAAAAAGCAAGATTAAGGGAAAGCCTATGTGAAGGAGGGGATGGGCGATAAAGGACTGCAAGCTGGGAAATGTTTCATAGAAGAGCTGAATTCTGAAAGAGGAGGAGTAGACACAGGAAGTGGGAGGAGGAAAGACTAAGGCTTCCAGGGCTTGTGAGTAGTACAGACAAAGATGTGAATAACCTTGCACATTTGGGTATAGCAGGATTTGGGTTAAGGGTGTAAGGCAGCCACAATAGTAAAACCACAGCAGCTAATGTCTCTTGAGTATTTACTATGTGCCAGGCCCCGAACTTTCAATGCCTTATTTAATTGAATCCTAATAACCCAACAAACTAAGTACTGTTAATATCACTTTGGATGTCTTGCCCAAGGTCTTGCAGTGAATAAATGGCAGTCAGGAATTGAAAGAAATTCTGGAACAGTCTAAAGTGAACTACGGCAGTGAATAATGTTGACAAGATGGGTAGAGTCAAACTGGGAAGAGCATTCCTTGAAAACTGGACATTTGTACACTTAAATATTAAGTATAAAAGATCGAGCTAATTCAACTATCACCCCATAACAGATGATAAAAGTGGTAGCAGGTAATAAAATTTTAGGAAGTCAGGAAAAACATAAAATGTTTAAAATAAAAAACCCATCCCTTTGTGAAGTAGAACAAGGTCACCATTCAATTTTCTCTCAATTCCATTATAGAAAAACTTTGCTGTAGAAACTGGATTTTCAATCTAAGCTAAAGGCAATGAGAGATCTTGGGTTTTTAAAAAATTAGATCATTCGTTTTCATTTTTAGTTAGTTAATTCTAGAGAAAGGATTAGAAAGCATAGAGACAAAACAAACTTATAAAAAGGCTGTCACACTAAGAAGAATGTAACAGAAAATAATAGGGGACAGGAAAAATTTAACCTGTTTTTGGAGAAGTCGGTATATATTACTAATAGGTTCTTTTGACAAATGACAACCCTGAAGTGCCCCAGGACCTCCTAGTTGAAAGTATTCAATAGGTTTTTGGAAATATCCATTTATAGTCCAAGAGAGAGATCAGAGCTGCAAAATGAGGTTCACTGGTATGTAATTGGCAAACTGAGACATGGAAGTGAATGAAATCTCCCAAAAGGAAAATGCAGTGACAGGAGAGTTAATTAGAAAATGCAGAAAAGGAAAGGGAGGTACAATCAAAAGATGAGATGCAGAAATCAAGGTAACTTTAATTTTAGCAAAAAGTCTCATAGATGCCAGCCTGGAAAGGGTGAAAGAGGGAGCTGAAAGTCTGAAAGTCTCTCTTTTATTTGTAAATGAGAGGCCATTGTGATATCTAAAGAATAAGAAAAAGAGCAGTAAATACTTGGAAATATCTTCTAGGGAATGGAAAAGGAAGCTGACTATAGACAGGTAAAATGACTGAAGATCAAAGGTATCAAAGGACCAGCAAAATGTTGGAATCCAAAATTAATGGTGCCGATTCCCACCAACATTCCAAGGGTGGAAACAGAGAGAGCAAGTTCTCAAAAATACTGGATATTAGAGATGTAGCCTGGAAGAGGATGACAATGACAAGGGATTTGAGGTATTGCTCAGTCAGGTGACTGGACCATAAAGTTCAGGGTGGATAAGAAAACAAAAGTAAATCCAGGATAAAGCCAATATAACCTGAACACAAGTGGCACAAAAGTCCCTGGCATAAGACTTGAAAAGCTGCTAGATACTTAAAAAGAAAAATTTTAAGCTATAAATGTATTTCCCCAAACTAAATTCTACTTACATTTGTAGTCTCTATTATATGATTTAGCAATTACTTGATTATGTCTGTCAGGTTTCATGTTTATTTTTCTTGTCTTCCCAAATAGATTACAAAGTCTTTAAGGGCAAGATTCGTATTTTATACTTCTATCTCTTTCATGACAACTCATGTAAAGCAAGACAAAGTTAGTATTGGATAATACCTGAGGCAGTCACAAATCCTTTCTAAAAAGAAGATATTAATTATAATCATTAAAAGAGCTAAAATTAAGCAATCACTCTGTGCCAGTACTGTTCTAAGCATGTATTAACATTACCAACAACCTTGAGGGTAACACTGTTACCCACATTTTAGGAATAGGGGAGAGGTTAAATAACTTTCCCAAGACCATACTAAAGAACCAAGATTTAAGCCTAGGCAGTTTGGCTCTTGAGGAGAAAATTATACTGTCAGATATTTTGTAGTGGTTAAGAGCACAGCTTTGGTATCAAATAGAGTAGGGTTTGAATCTTAACTTTCACTAAACCTGAGCCTTCTCACCTGTAAATAAAGACAGTAATACCTCACACTGTGAAAAAAAAAACTTTAGCCCACAAACTGACATGTGGTGTCCGTAAACTCTACCTATTACTATTACTTCTTTAGAAAGGGGACTTCAATCTTTTAATAGTTAATAACTACATAGAGTGCAGGGAGAGGGTAAATGGGAATTCCACTAAAGCTTTGAAGAACAAACTTGAAAATGACCAAGGGTGAATGATCAAGCATCCTATTCAACTTGCAGAGCATAAGTATTGTGAGCATACTAAGTAAGCTGCACACCTATCCATCTTCCCACTGAAGATTTACTGAGAGCCTACCACATCCTAGGCACTGGACATTGTCCTGGTTTCCAGAACTGGAAGTAACTGGTCACAATTAAGATCTCAAGGTGCTTATGATGAATGCAGGGTGACAGCTCCAGTTGTCTTTATCTTTTCCCTCCTATTTTGAATATAAATTCCTGAAAAAGTAACTAGAGCCTCAAGATAATCATTAATAATAATTGTCCTATAATAATAATTTGCCAAATAGCTTCCTTTGACAAGAAAAATAAACTTTGCTTTACAAACAGAACACTAAACATTAAAAATGATGTTCTCTAAAACAAAACAAAACAAAACAAAAAAATGATGTTCTCTGACTAAAGCTTGATCATTTACTTTCTGAACCTTAAGGTGTCATTTAAAAAATTGTATACTCTAAAGAAACACAATTAAATAGTATAGCCCACAGAATGATAGCCCATATTCTTTTCATACAAATAGAGTAGGGTTTTGTCAATAAACAGGATCTCTATCTCAGCACTGTTGACATCCTGGACAAAATAATTCTCTGTTGTGAAGAGATTGTCCTGTGCATTGTAGAATGTTCAGCAGCATCTCTAGTTTTTATCAAGCAGATGCCGAGGGGAGGGGTGGAATGGAGTGTTGTTACTTGGGTTAAAAGCCACCCGAATAAAAAAGATTCCAGTGGTAAGATGCCACAATCATCTAATATCTTTTTAAGAAAAAATGGGGGAAACTTTATTACTGGAAACACATAATGTAGGTACTGAAGAATCCTTACCACTAGAATTACTATGCTTTATTATGGAATTATTAAAAAAATATTAATGACAAAGTTAAAACTCAACTATTTCGGAATAGTTTCTTTAAAACACAATGTAAATTTTAAAGTATGTTCTTTACTAATTTCATTTAATGATTTCTTACATTTTCATTCCAAATGAAAACCAATTAAGAATTCTTTGAAGAACACCATGAAGCAACTATTTCTGAAAGAGTTTTCTTACTCAAAACAGAAGCTCAAATGATTGAAAAGTAGAAGATTGTATTTTTATCAATAATTTTACTAACATGAAATCATGACAAATGCCATTTTAGCTTAACATGTTTAAACTACCATTACCTTTGTTAATTTTTTACACTGCAAACAAAATCCACAAAAAGAATGCTAAAATGAAACATCCATGAATAGTAAGATAAGCTTATGCGCTGCTCTCTCCCAAGGGCCTCTTTTTAC